CGCCTGTGTGTCACTGGCCACGCCCCTCAGCCTATCTCTGCAAAGGTCATTGAACACAGGCACCCTCAGGGCACAACAGACTGGACCACTTCTTAGGGCAGGAGAATACTAAGGCTGTGATTGGAAACTTTTTAACAAAGGGAAAGTCCCTTACCTTTGGGCCCATTTGTTTAGGAGCTTTAAAGTCTTTCCTTCCTTAATAATTTACGCCAAGGAAGGAAACACTGGGACCAGCACGGAGGGGGCAGAAAGGACAAGGTCGGCCCTGTTGCGGAGGGGCGGGCACGCTGGCATCCTCACCGAGTCGGGCTCTGGGTCCACCTTGCTTCTCACATCCTCACTGTGCCCGGAAGCCCATCGACGGCTAGAACATGAAGGCCATGCAGCCCGGGGACAAGTCGGGAGGCGAGGAGGGGGTGTCTGAGGATGGGTGGGGCTTGAGCACGTAGAGAATGGGAGAAGCATCTGGAATGAAAGCCAGGGAAGGAGTTGGAGGCATAGAAGGGAAGAGGGGCAGCCGGGTGGCTCACTGTGTGGCCCGGTCCTAACTCTTACTGACAGACACTCACACCCAAAGGCTTTCATACCCTCCACAAATTCAGTACATTTCATCGCACCCAAGACTGGCCAAGAGTGTCAGACTCAAGTGAAGTAGGCCTCATGAGCCCCGTGGAGGTGTGACCAGGGCAAACACCTCTGTCCCTCCAGAAGACGGGACGTGTGCTTTTGGTCTGCTCCTCACACTCCAGGGGCGTGGGGTGGCCAGGGCTCTAGGGTGAGGACAGCTCCTTGCTTAGCTGTGAGACTTTTCCCTGCTTACGAGATGGCATGTAAGTGGCCAGGAGAGCATCTGAGGTGCAACAACGGGTCTCTCCTCGTCAAGAAGAAAGAAGAAAATCAAAATGAATGGAAACAATCAGCCCTAGCAACTGGTACACCATCCGATCTGCAACCTATACAACTATGAGACCAGAAGAACTAGATGGTGCCCGGCTACCACTG